GATCCCGAATTAGTATGGCTCAACACCATGGGAATAAAAGGTAATAATGGCCCTGCAGCCACAAGACCAGGATACCGGCATCAAATAATAACGGACCGTCGCTTGGCCGCCACGTCCGCCCCGCAGACAGGGTTATGCTTCAGAGTGAGCGTGCAACAAATCCACCAGGTTTTTGAACTCCTGGGAGGGTCCATTTAACGAGGTATTTAAACGGAATTCATACGGAATAAAAGACGCTGGTCAAGCGGGTCGCGTTAACGATTGGTCTTTCCGAGTGTTCCGTTTAGGCGTCTCTTGGACGAGTCATGGAAGGCCCCCTGATAGACAAAAGAATAAAATAAAATAAAATAAAGCTTCAAGGGGTCTCCGCTGCATGTTTTAAGCTCTATCTCCATGTCTCTGACAATCGATACCTTAACCCCGGAGATGGATGCTTCGCCACGTGTGGAAGCTTTCGGGGAAGATTGAACCGAGGCTGAGGCTGAATACGAGAGGAGACAGCTGCGTTTGCCTATCTTGGTGGCTCATGGCTTGCGACAAAGCTCCTGTCGAGCTGATGTGTGTCAAGCGTGTTCCTTCAATGGAAAGATACGAATTTATCCCGTCAATAATTTCTAGGCTGTCATCCATCCGACAGGTGAATCCAACTCGGCCGACTCATCACTAAAAGGTATTTTAGCCGTGGTACTCGGACCGGTCCCAATCGTTAGTGGTTCCATTTATGATTAGAACAGCCGATTGAGAAGTGTGGCAGAAAAGGGCCTTGCCAAGAATCTATGCCATGGTGTCAAAAGAAGGGCCCGTCTACAAGTAAGGTATGTATGTTGGGTCGCTCTCGAGTGGAGAACATGATTGTTGGTTCTGGTTTGGACGATTATTTGTCAGCTCTGAAGCGTGTCGTTGTTGTTGTTCATCGAAAACGTAAAAGTTTTTGCATCGTCGCTGTCGCCGTCACCGTTACCGTGTGTGTGTTGGATGATGTCTTGGACTCTTGGGCGGCAACCCGTTTTGGGTGGGATGCCTCGATTTGGTTAAAGATGAGAAGGCATGGCTTGCTAGGTAGTTAAGGTTGTACTTTGAGCTGCATAAAATGTGCGTGCATAATACAAGTAACAAGCATGATAGAGGAACCGTTAACGATGTCTGTCGTCTATCACCGGCAAGTTCGGCAATGCGGGGGGCGGATTAGAGGTGGGATGGAGGCAGCCCTCGAAAGAAGGAAGAGAGGCAAAAGGACCAAAGACTAGAAAAAATTAGCGGCTTCCATTGGTGTCCCGGCAAATGCATGGAGTCATCCATGGAGAGCCTTACAGGGAAACCCCTACCCAGTCATTCAGTCATCCATCCCTTCATTCCTGCCCATTTTCAAGGGGAATATCTCGTAACCAATACCTGATATGTAGGGAGGTACTAACTTGTGCTTGTGCATATGTAGTGCCTCGGTGCTAGGGTAGGTGCTACTACTATTATCACTTCTTTTACGAACGTAACGTCCCAAAGCAGAGGCTAATGGCTCTCGGGGATGCCTTCCCTTTTGCTTTCTTGCTTGCTGGTTGGGTGGTTGGTTGGTTGGCTGTCTCTGCCTTCCTTATCAATGATCATCCATAGTTTAGTGTTTTTTAGTTTTTGTTTTTTTTTAAAAAAAAAAAATCTTGTTAGTACAAGACAGGAGATAATCCGTTCCCTCTATTCTCTCTCTCTCTCTCTCCATATGACACCTTTTGCAACTGAAACATTCCGGAACTTCACTCGGCCCTGAATCGTATCTATTATGCGTAACTGGAAGCATAGAAACCGATTCCATTCTAGTAGCGTCTTGGCAGCCCGCCTTGGCTGCAGCTCGAGCAACCTCTAGCAACGAATGGAGGCTCCAATTTTCAATCCCCCGTACCAAAACCGCGCATTTATCGCGTCCGCAATTGGCTAGGAACCCTTGCTGGGATAAACAGAGCTAAGCCTATAGAGGCATCTGGCCCCCCGTCATGTCCGGCTCTTGCAAGGGCCACTAAAAGAATTTCCGACGCCTGTGCCGTTACATCCTTGAGAGTCAATCCAGAGTCAAAGAGTCTCGTCTCCATACCCATGATCCTTGATCGACCCGTCCCATTTCTCTTTTTGGTCTCATTGCTCCGGTGCAATGCAAGACAAAAAGACCTCCATCAGCAAACAATGGTCCTTTTGCAGATAAGACGCCCGGTACGACAAAAGCCAGGACCAGCATGTCCAGGGATGCCCGTGGGGAAAAAGATCCAACGCCACCCACTGGGACGTTGCAGAACCCATGACAGAGCTTTTCGGTCCCGTCCGACGTCGCATTGGTGATTCCCTCTAATGTGTCGCATGCTCCGAACGATTACTTTTATCTTTCCTGGGGCCTCTTCCTCTTCTCGTCCTTCTATATCAGTCCTTCATCTCCTTCTTTTTCTCCTCTTTCCTTTCCTCATAAGACTTGCTTGTCCGTGGTCCAGGTCTTACGAGTAAGAGGTGCAGAGCATCTATCAAAATCACAATCATGGCGCAGAACCACGAAGACACAGCTGCCGAGTAAGAATTTTCTCTTGTTCTCCTCTTCGCAAGGGTCGACAAGGTACACACACCTTTTGCTAACGCGTTATCTCTTCGTTTTAGGCTCCACGAGACTCTCAACGAGCGAGTACCCAACCAGGGCACCGACCTTGCTGGCGGCTACATCCACGATTCCGACCTCAAGAAGGACCACCTCTATTCTGGTTCTGATTCTGAGCCTACCCCTGATGGCGAGGAACCTAATGAGTACGAGAGGCACAATCTTCGCCGCATCGGCGAAAATTTGCCCTTCTCCGCTTTCCTCATCGCCATTGTAGAGTTGACGGAGCGATTCACTTACTATGGTGCTTCTGGTCTGTTCCAAAACTACATCAGTAACCCCAAGGATGGCTCCAGCGGTGCCAAGGGTTTGGGCTTGGGAAACCAGGCTGGTACTGGCCTCAATCTTTTCTTCCAGTGGTTCTGCTACGGTACGTTCATTTGAACTAGTTACTTGGCAAAAAAGGAGGCAGCCTAACAAAACATGCAGTGACTCCCATTCTCGGTGCCATCATCTCTGATCAGTATCTCGGCAAGTACAAGACCATCATGATCTTCTGCTGCGTCTACTGGGTTGGTCTCGTCGTTCTGTGGACCACTTCCCTTCCCATCGCCCTCGAGCATGGCGCTGGTCTTCCCGGATACATTGTTGCCATTATCATTATTGGTTTCGGTACCGGTGGTATCAAGTCTAACATTGCTCCCCTCATTGCCGACCAGTACACTCGAACCACCATGGCCATCAAGACCGAGAAGAGCGGTGAGCGTGTCATTATCGACCCCGCCATCACCTACCAGCGCATCTACCTGATTTTCTACTGGTGCATCAATGTTGGTTCTCTCTCCCTGATCGCTACTCCTTTCATGGAGAAATACGAGGGCTTCTGGACTGCTTTCCTCCTCTGCTTCCTGGTCTTCAACTTTTCCATCATCATCCTCCTTGCTCGCCGCAAGTCCTACATTGTCCGACCTCCTCAGGGCACCGTCATCACCGACGCTTTCAAGGCCATGGGTATGATGATTGCAGCCCGCAACATGGATGCTGCCAAGCCCTCTTGGCGCGCGGCCAACGGCAAGACCCGAGTTGTGAACTGGAACGACCAATTCATTGATGAGCTCAAGCGTGCCCTCATTGCCTGCAAGGTCTTTGTCTTTTTCCCCATCTACTGGGTCTGCTACGGTCAATTCTCGTCCAACTTTGTCTACCAGGCCAGTCAAATGGACGGCCATGGAATGCCCAACGATTTCATGCAGAATTTTGATCCCATCTCCATTTTGATCTTTACGCCCATTCTCGACATGGTCGTCTACCCCTTCCTGCGTCGCATGGGTATCTCCCTCCGCCCCATTATGCGTATCTCTATCGGCTTCTGCTTCGCTTCGCTCTGCCTTGCCTATGCTTCCATCGTTCAGCACATTATTTACACCAAGGGCCCTTGCTTCGACCACCCTCTCAAGTGCCCCGCTGGCAAGCTTGACGGCAAGAAGATCCCCAACTCGATCCACATTGCTATCCAGGCTCCTGCCTACGTCTTCATTGGTCTTTCTGAGCTGTTCACCTCGGTCACTGGTCTTGAGTACGCTTACACCAAGGCTCCCCCGGAATGAAGTCATTTGTCCAGAGTATGTTCCTCTTCACCAACGCCTTCGGCTCTGCCATTTCTGAGGCACTGGTCTCCGTTTCCAAGGACCCTAAATTTGTGTGGATGTATGCCGGTGTTGGTATCTCCGCTTTTATTACTGCCATCGTTTTCTACAGCCTCTTCCGCCACTATGATTACATGGAGGATGACATGCTAGCCTTGGAGCAAGATGCCGCGACTGCTGTTGAGGAGAAGAAGGAGGGTTAAAAAAAGTATATATGAGTGACGTATATAGATGGACGAGTTATACGATAATGACTTGAGCATTGATCAATAAATTTACGCGTTAATTATGAAAGCTACTTCTCCATTCCACAATGACGCTATGATTGCCATTTCCCCTTTCCATGAAAGGCTCTTTTGTTTGACGTCGACTAGTTTACCCTTTGAAGTAATTCTCCGTATTGCTTATTTTTGCCAAGCTCAGCCACTGCCGAGGTTCTGGGCTTCTCGAAGGCTTCCATGCATCTGCATCGGGCGGTGTCGCCACACACCCAACGGAGTCCCCGGAATTCGTGATGACAGGGGGCGTGTGTGGTGTGGTGAACATTTCGTGTTTGCATTTTTCCCTCATGCTACGTTAACGTGGGGTTGGTATCATTGATGCTTCCATGTGATTATTAGCATGCATGCATAAGGCTGAAAAAGAAAGGCAAAGAAAAAGAAAAGAAGAAGAAAGGAGGCGAAGCTTCTGAACACCAAATATAGATACTATTTGACGCTGGGGCAGATCATCAAAATGCCTCATGAACAAACCCTAGATCCACCCTGATGGAAAAGAGCAAAAAAGAATGACACCTGTGGGATTCGAACCCACGCCTATTACTAGACCGCGAAGCGAGATTTGCTCGGATGGGTATCCGAGAGGACCTGAACACGGCGCCTTAGACCACTCGGCCAAAGTGCCCTTGAAGCTGGATGCTTGATTTGGCACCCCAGACTTGTTGGAGGTCGGCGATCGAAATGTGGTACATGATCCTCGCGCACCAGAGAGGGGCGCGAAGCAGAAACATCATCTTGTCATTGTTGGCCGAATCCTTGATTGCAAATAATTTTCTTTTCTCTTTCTCTATTTTCTTGAAGTGGTTAATGATTACTCTTAGGGCTCAATAAGAATAACACTACTAGGTACTGTTTCATCCTGCTGATGCTTGGGGGGCACATCATCAGTCAGTATACTGTGCCTAAAATTCAAGGAAATTAGCTGTACGTAAGGAAATGCCTATTTTCCCAGCTTGCGATGATGACATCTTCAGTTTTCTTTTCTCTTTGGCCCATGAGCGGCCCTATTAGAACAAGGTGGACAAGGTGGACATGGTGAGCGAGTTTCGCCGATCATCTATCACATCGTGGAATGGGGTCAGTGGATCGAACGCTGTGTGACATGACACTTGCCGCCCCATGCTTATGCCCCATGAATAATAATAATAATAATAATAATAATAATAGTAGTAGTAGTAAGGTGGGGGAAAAAAGTGAATAAAAGTTTTATTTTTTTGAAACGAAAATAACTTTTTTTCCGGATCAGCGCTAAGATTGAAAGCGATTATCACAGGGGTTCATGGGAAATGATCATGAACGGGTATCCAATGCAGCAGGCATATTGATCCTTTCATCCCTGGGCTGGATGAGTCAGTTGTACAACTTCATAACTTGATCCTTGTGATATTTAGACGTTCTTGTTTCTTGTGATGTGAAAGCTGCATAGTCAGCAGAATTTATTCGTACTCAGCTCACTATTAAGAAAAGGTTAATGGAGTCTTTAGTTGGAGATGTATTCTAAGTGAACAAGATATTCCTAGTTTCCATCACGTAGATGTATGATGTGTATTGAATGAACCGCATCTTCAATACACCTACTCCTTCTTCCATACATCTTTCCACCACTCCTTGAACCCATATGGCTTCGCATTCTTATTCTCATATATCCTCACCGCATCCCCTCCACCTACATCACCCATCACCCCTCCCCCTTGAACGGCGATGGCTTCGACGAAAACGTTGTCGAAGCAGGTCGCGCCGCCCTCTCCTTGATCTCCTTTGCCACAAAGGGCGCGACGTCGGCGTAACATGATGCCAACTCGCGCTGGAGGGAAAAGTATGGCTTCTTGGCTAGCTCGGGGGCCATGAGGTTGTAGCTTCGCGTAATGCTGTTGAGGTTTTCCACCGAAAGATTCATGTATGCGTGCTCTGCCTTTTCCCAGACTGGATCTCGGAACGGCGCAACAGATGCAGTTTCAGTTGTCGCGCCAGTTGAGTTTCCATCCTCGTCGCCTCGTTGGGCATTATGCACCCGTTCAGCCACGGCATGTTCCTCCGCCCTGGCCATCTGCTCCTCCAGCGTCCCTCCCTTGGATGCAATCATCCTCGACACATGCCTCTTCCAGTCCGTCCTCAGCCTCACACGAAACGCATTCACTGCCTTTGCCAGTTCCTGCTGCTTCTCAATCCACGGGGGCACAATCTCCTGCCGCTGAATAATCCTATTCATGAGGTACTCCGTAGTGTCAACATACGGATTACTCGCCATCGGATCAGCCTCCATAGGCTTCCCTCGCGGCAGGTTGTTAAACTTCCCTCCGGCAATGGCTTCTTCAATGCGTTCGTTAGCTAAGGCAGCTAAGCCGGATATCGTAGCTGGCACGGCCCTTGCCGTCGGCTCGAACCTCGCGCGGAACTCCCTTTTGAGATCCTCCTTTTCTTTTTCGCTCAGACCTATGTCCTCCTTCATCCCCATGTGGGCATACATTGAAGCTCTATCCCTTGCTGTTGCAGCTCTCTGGCCCGGCTTCATGACCGGAGTGCGCTTCACTCGGGGATCGACAACAGGTGGCTGAAACTTTCCCCGCAAGTCTGGATTCAGCGGCTTCTTCGCATCATCAAGCATTCTCAACACTGCATCTGCTGTCTGTTCCTCTCCAGTCCATGGCTGCGCAGTCGCTACATGTCTCGTGCCCTCACCTGCTGTAGATGTGAGATTGACTTCTGCAAAACTACTAGCATATTGATCTTTGAAGTTTGCATTGGCAACCTTATCCAGTAGCTTTTCCTTCAAGTCGTCTGAGAATCCAGCATCCCGAACTGCCTGTCTTCCAGCTGCTCCGCCGGTAAACAGGGCCTCCTCGGTGGCTTCTTGCAATCTGCGCGTCATGGCCCCGGGTTCTGGAGTTTGCTGTGGCCCGGCTTTTTGTGAGTCTTTTCCATCAATATTTTCGGTTGTTTGGTCTGCTTCATTTTCCCGGTGGCCAGATTGTGAGATGTGGCGAGCGGCACTCGTATTTCTCAATCGGCTTGCGGCTATGAGGCAACGCCTGCATACAAAAGGCGCCGCTGTGTTCAAATATGGAAGCATGGTATTAATTTTAATGAATGGCAATTGAAACAGCGCTGAGAAATGAACGACTGCACTACTGTGCAAGTAGCTGGTGGCGAGAGTCAAGCAAACGCTCACTCACATTGAGCGTCACCAATTTTAATAAGATTAGTCAGCGGCATACTTCTCTTGAGTGATGAATCTCATATGAGATAAATAGCTTCATATGAGACGACGATGAGACAAGTTTTCACCAAAATTCATTTTTAAATGAAGTGTTGAAATCCTTTCATTTTTATTCATAATTATCAAGCATCTGTTTATGTTGAATTTACAACGGGTATCAATATTTTCCACCCTCTTCCATATTCTTCCTACATTCCATCACATTCACTCATAAAAGCTCACCAACCTAGTCATGATATAGGCTCTCACGAGCTCCTCCGTCCATAAGGCTCGAATGGGAATATTGCAGCCACACCAGCGGCAACAATGAAGATTGCAGCGCAGACATATATTGGCGCAGACGTCTCAGTATTTGCAAAGGTGGCTACAATGGCTGAAACGATTCCCATGATACGATTGAAAGCCACCGCGATGCCGTTACCCGTGCCACGGTGAGCGCTTGGAAGCACCTCCGGAGTATAAGCATATAGTGTACCGTAATAAATGTTGAGGAAGCATCCGATCATGCATGAAAACACAATATCTTGGGCATCGGTTCTGACGGCCGTGTAGGCGAAGAAGAAGGCCATAGTAAGCAATGCGCCAATGGACATTGTATACCTGCGACCAAGTAATTTTGTGTTGCACATGAATCCTGCAATGATCGGTCCAGGGATGCCACTGATATTGGTCAAGGCATAGTTGCGCCAAGTCTCGTACTCAGTTCGATGAAAAGTTGTGCCATGATTCGCAAGATAGGTTCTAAGACACGGTAAGCTTCGATTTGCACCAAGAGAGAATGTATTCGGGCTTGAGAATGCGATGAATACACAAGAAGAGTGAAAGCAACTTACGGAAGGAAGACATAGAATAGAGGATATGCAAGGCCAATAAGCATCCAGGAAAACCAGATGAGGAGAGTTGAAGTTGCCATCTTCTTACCACGGAAAAGCCCTCGAAGATGAACCATGGTTTCATGGAGAGAAAATCGACTCTTGCTGTGAGCTGACTGGATAGTTCCGCAAGCTTCGAGCTTCTCAACTGTTAAGGAGCATGTGCGGTTGTATTTTTTAGCCAGCATTTGGAACGTTTCAACCACCTCAGCATCCTCCCCTATTCCCAAGAGATATTTCGGCGTTTCGCGCAACCTGACAACCGTGATACGAAGGATCGACATGACGAGAACGAGAGCGCCACCTGTGAAGAGGCAGTATCGCCAACCCCAATTATTATCCCAGGTGCAAGTTGCAACATCGGCACAGTTCCACTTGTCTGGAACCAAGAAACCCCAAGCGATGAATCCGGTAATTGCCTGGCCAAATCCCCACCAACAGGCGAGGAACGTCAAAAGCCACTGCTTGTTGCTAGGAAGGTATTCCAGAAAGACCGTCGTATCCATGATTAAGTTACCACCACCACCGAAACCAAGCACGGCGATGAAGAAGGCTAGACCTGGCCAATTGGGCATCGCACCGGCAACAATGCAGCTTATCGAGCAGATGAAAAGCGAGACGTTGAAGGCAAACTTTCGACCAATGATGTCTGCACTGAAGCCCCAGAAGATGGCACCTGTCAACATACCGACATAAACGGCGATGGTGAGAGCATTCTTGTAACCCTTTTCACCAAACTCGCGGTATGCTTGTGCCGAAATAATTGACTGGAAAAGCAGGATCAGGGAATCAACAGAGTAACTATCGACACCGAGTTAGCAACAGGTAAATCAGAGAAATTCAAGCCCCATTGAGGGTTGCTTCCTTTTCTCATGAAGGTATACTAACCCGAATCCATTGAGGAAAAAGAGCTTGAGATGATATGGTGTCCATCCAATCTCATCAATCGCCTTGGAATCCAGTGTCAGCGGTTAAGTCTCTATACAAAAAAAGATGAGACGGGGCTTTGCAATTATTTATCGCCATCGCTTTTGGCCCATGGGGTCATGGCCTGGGAAGCAGTAAGCCTTCAACATCACTCACGTTATTCACCAGGTGCATCTTCATGTTGAGTGCCGGATCGAGATCTTGCAGAGCGAGGACATCCTCATTGCCCCGCAGTGAAGATCCATCAAAATTTTTAATTTCGCCGGCAATCATCACGCCATCGCCATCGCCTGCTTTCTCTAGCCTATTCACATCCATAGCTGGGTCGTGTCTTGTTGATCACAACTATAGAGTCCTTTCGAAATTGTTGGTCTGCTAATCACGGTAGATGTTTAGCTTAAGAAAAATGGCTCATGGCAGCACAAGAAGCTTCCGTTGCTTGATGAAAAGCCGATTCGATGTGTAGAGCTTTCAATTGATCAGAGAAGCTCAGCTAGCATAGTATGGATGATCTTGAAATAGTATTCAGGAATGAGCCAATTGTTGCACCGAGTCAAGTGTATGGCTAGATAATTCACCCTCATACAATGAGGGAAGGTAGCAGTCCTT